GATGCTGCTTGGCCTGCTGTGTTCATCCAGCCCTGCACCTTGTTGTCAAGGTAGTTAATCCAAGGGTGTGACTTCCTCCTGAAACACAGCATCCAGGTAACTCTTTCCCCTCCCTGATGTGTTGCAGTGTTCAAAGCTCAGACTCCAGCTCATCAACTCTGAGCCAGAGTCCCTCTAGCAACCAACACTTGCTACAGATGTGGTCACTATGAACCACAATGGAGTCTACTAGCTCTCTTACCATGCAGTTACAACATATCCCTTGGCCAGGCATCTCTATTTTAATTACTTTCTTCTTAATTTGATGTTGAAAAATTTCATACTGGTCTTTTAGTTTGTAGTCTATAAATATTTCCCCTATTTTCCTTCAATCTGAAAGTAACCTATTAAAAATAGTCAAATTAGTAGTTATCACCAACCAAAAAAATGGGTTAGCTGTGATGTCACTCTTTTGTGAACCCCTGATCCTGGACTTCAATTTATTCTGGTTAAAAATAAAACCTTACAACTTTGAGCCAAAAAAGCAAGCAAAAAACATCTCTTCCCCTCTGCACTGACTTCCCACACTACCATCAACTTCCCCAAACTATACACTCAATCGGGCTATGTCTCTGGATGTGATCCCTCCTTCCTGACCATGCAAAGTGTACGTGGTGTTGCTACTGCAGTCTTACCTGCAGGTCAGTGGGGCAGAAATTAGACCTTTTCTAAAAGACTCTGTATCTGGTTCACCTATCATTCTTGTAGTTGTATGATGCACTGATAATTTAAATGTTGAATAATCACAACAATCCATCTATGCCAACGCTGTGAGAAGAATTATCTTTCCAGATAACTGTGAAGGTTGTTGATTCTTGAAAGGGTTTGTTAACTGCATCATGTTCCAATTGCAAGTACTTCAAATATTTATGTTACTGTTAATGTTGCTCCATAGTTCAACAGCTTCAGAGGTTTTATCATTTCCTGCATTTTGCGCGTGGTCTTTTTAGCATAGCAGGGAGGCATTCACAGATTTTACATGCTGTTTCAGACAGGAAGGCATTGTCTTGCACAGACCTTCTCCGTAACTTTAACCTGAATTCGTTAACTTCTATTGCAACATTTTGCTATAGAACAGGGGAGAAAAGTGAAAGGCTGAACAACGGATGTATATACCACAGTTGACAGACAGTAAGAAACTGAACACGAGACACTTAGAGGTTGGTGAGGCACAACTAGAGGCTAAACATTAGTCACCTGTACCACCAGTGAGATACAACTTGAGACTGGATGCTTGCTTGCCTGCCTGTGCAGCAGTAGGACTGAACTAAATCTCAGTCCATAAAGGTCTTTTTTTTAAAATTTAGTCTGTTGTCAGGACAGGAGTGATACTGAAAGTTATTTCTCATCACCAAGAGCAAAGCACTAGTGAAAACATTTATACAGTCACATGTAACCCATATTCGTGTTTGATACATATTCATATATAATATTCTTCCCCTGTAATACTCTTAATTCATCTCCTCAGATGGATCCCAATGCTACCACCATTACTGATGTACCTATACCCACAAAAGACAATCTAGTGTTATATTGACAGACCTGTACCCATGAGTATTGGAGGTTACACAGTCAACTCTGTAGCCACCAGTGCTGTATTGCAGGGTTACATAGAAATACATGTATCCACCAGTACTCTTCCCCCAACATTAAACAAAAGCCATGTGTATATACTAGAACTGCATTACAGGGTTGTACAAATATACCTGTACCCACAAGTGGTCTAACCAATATTAAATGGTTAACTTCATACCTACCAGTTTCAGGGCTGTACAGACGCATCTGTACCCACCAGTAGTCTGATCCAACATTATTCAGGTGGAACCTGTACACAATAGTACTGTAACCCTATGTTATACAGTGTGACACACCAGTAATGCACCCCAGTGACAGACCTGCATCCAACAGAAATGGACAAAGACCACTTGTCCTGCTCTGAAGTTTCCTAGAAATAAGCATAAATGCCATGAACAGCCAGCTAGAATCATAGAATCCCTACAGTTGAAAGAGGCCATTCAGACCATAGAGTCCATACCAACCTCCAAACAGCAGTACATGTGGATCCAGCCCTCCAACCCCATTCTATCCCTGTAATCCCATAATTACCTCTGCTAATCTACCTAGCCTGCATATCCTGGTCACTATGGGCAACTTGTCTTGGTCAATCCACCTAACCTGCACATCTTTGGACTGTGGGAGGAAACTACATCACCCAGCTTAAACCCATGCAGACCCAGGGACAACATGTAAATTCCACATAAATCACCCAAGACTGGAATTTAACACCAGTCACTGGCACCATGACGCAGCAGTGGTAACCACTGAGCCACCTTCCACCCTAAAACTAACTTATTTGCTTGCTTGGATAGCTGTAGAAACATTGATACAGGAATGTCCAAGCTTTAAGCTATGTGGACGAAATCCATTTATGCAGTGAATGCTTGGGGAGCTGAAAGACTAAAGTCTCAGGACTTACAGATATGAACAGATCTCTATTCAAATTTGGATTTATAATTCAACCAATGTAAAGAGGACATCCATATTTATTCAATCTTCCCTGTGTACACAGTATGGTTTCACTCGTGATATAAAGAACAGGGTTTCACATTTTTGATCCTCCCAGTATAATCAGGATATAGAACTAAAATGTAAGTAATTTCCCCCCACTTTTGTCTCAGATTGAGCTGGCTGGAAAAGAGTTCTGTTAGGAAGTGTTAGCTAGAATTGGGCTTTCAAGATATCTGTAACACAGGGAGCAGTTCGCAATTTAGGATGTTGTCCTGGAGCAATATTCTGACTGGAGTCCCCAGTTAACTACCACTGAATTTGATGCTTTTATGTCACTATCCAATGTAAGAGTACTCTGGAGTTGATTTATGTATTGATAGAAATGCTTTTAATACTCCAAGTGTCATTAAGTAGACTTGGGCTGTCATTTGATTAGTACGTTGAACAGTTGAAATTATACCTCTTTAGAGAAATCAGAGAGGCAACCATATGCCAAAAGGCATTTTTTTAACAGGACGCCATCGAGGGGGCAGATAGCCTTGAAGATGAGAGCTAAAATTTTAAAATTTGACATACGAGTATCCCACTCGAGAAAGCAAAAAACATCTGTGATTCAAGGTTTTTGTACCACCCAGGAGCAGAGAAGTCACGAAGGGTGGCTGAAGGTTCAGCACTAGCATGATATTCCCTATAGAGAGAGAGGCCAGGTACTGTTCTCTCCAGATGTTTAGGGAGGTCAGAGTAGGTAGGTGATGAGAAATGAAATGTATTTGGTCACATGGGGGGGGGAAATCAATGACAATTGCATTTGAACTAATGTGTTGAATTTTTGGTGAAGAAGATTAAAATAAGAAGCACCTGTAAATGAAATGACACTGGTGCATGTTCTGTTCCGGCCTGGTTGCCATGGCTCCGCAGATGAACCCCGCCCCGCTCTGTTGCCATAGCTCCGCAGGTGAACCCCGCCCCGCTCTGTTGCCGTGGCTCCGCAGGTGAAAGGTCCCCCGGTTGTTGGGGGCAAAGGTCAAGGTGTTGGCGGCAGCGTCTCCGGATCCCTACCAGCCGAAAGAAAGTATTGAGTGGTGGAATACAACTTGCTGAGGATTAAAACAAAAGTAGGTGTAAATGATTGCTCCTTAGTCTGACTGAATTCCTTGTTGGGAGGCGGGAAGAATAATGTTATTGTTGAAGTGGGATAAAATTTAGCAAATAAATACGGAACTGTCATTGTAATCATGTTAGAAACAGTGAGTGTGTCTTTCTCATCTGCTCTTTTACTGTCTCCGATCCTGGCTCCAGTCACCAAGGTTTCAGTTACCTTTAACCTAATGCGTATCTTCTAGAGTAACCAATAAGCAAACTTTTTTTTTGAGGCACAACCACAGAAGTTGACACTTTTACATTTTTAGATTCCCGGTATCGACTGCACCCTCAGGCCCCTATAGAGGTAGATAAGGGTCATGTCCCCTTATTTCAAAGCTCTGGGCACAGACAAGACAGCGGAAATACAGGGTGCAGGACTGGATGAACACAGCAGGCCAAGCAGCATCATAGGAGC